TTTGAAAGTATCAGATATTAAATATTTACTAAAATCTTATTTATGTTTCTTGCAGATAATTTTTGCTGATGAGTGTACGGAGGCTGAAGGTCGAAGTTGGCACATGAAACATTTTTCATGCTTTGAATGTGATACTCAGTTGGGAGGACAGAGATACATAATGCGTGAAGGACGGCCATATTGCTGTGTCTGTTTCGAGCGATTGTTTTCAGAATTTTGTGATACCTGTGGTGAACACATTGGAGTTGATCAGGGGCAGATGACTCATGATGGGCAGCATTGGCATGCAACAGAACATTGTTTTAAATGTCACACTTGCCAAAAGACATTACTAGGACAGCCTTTTCTTCCAAAACATGGTGTTATATACTGTTCTGCAGCATGCAGCCGTGCAGGGTCAATTCCGACACAAACACCTCGTCGACCAGAAGATTATATGGAAGATATTAATAATATTCGTTTAGGTTCACCAGTGAGTCATGCAATGCATGAAAGTAGTGTCACCGGTTTACAAGAAGCCTTACGTCAGCAGTACACAATTACAGAAAGCTGCCCATCTTCAGATAAGGACCTTGGATATGCCACAAGTAGCAATAGTGAAGTGTATGCACCAGGAATGTATGAAGCAGCAGGCAATTCTGGGATGCCACATAATATATCTGGATATGAAATTAATGTGGATGGGTTGATTGATGCTTTGCCCAAACCAACTCATGATGCCAAAAAGAAAAGGTTATCACAACTCTCAATGCCAGATTTGTCAAAAGATCAGCAGAGTGGTTCTGGTTCAGACAAAAGTACCAATTCAAGTTCAAATAGTCGAAGTCGTAGTCATAGTAGAAGTCAATCTGGCTCGGAGCGAAATCTTGGTGTGCATTTCAATTTGAAAGATGGGCAAGCTATGACATATTTTCACCCTGAGCTTCCCACCAGTCACTTACGACCTTATCACCATCAGCAATCTGTTGGAAACAATCAAAATTATCCCAGTGCACGATCTTTTCCAGAACTCAGATACACAAGCAATACTAACTCTCCGAGTCAGGATTTTAATAACCTCCCATTACCAGATGAAGAAAAGATGAACCCAATCTCACGACCTCCAACAGGAAGGAGTAGTTTAAATACAAATCATTACCCTCGTAGTAGAAGCTTTGAGGGGCGACTTGGGAGTGCTCTTAATCGACACAATTCTGACAGGAGACGTACTTCAAAAGGTGAAAATCAAAACATTAGAGAATATTCTGTTGATGACAATGGCCTAGGTAGGCATGCTTATCAGGACGATGACGATCACTGCAGTACATGTTCTAGTTCAAGCGATTCAGAAGATGATTTTTGTTACTACTATGATACACCTCACCAGCCAACTCAGCCAAGAATTTCCTATGTGGATAACTTTAACCATAGTAAGGGTCAAAGTGCAACATTAGGTCAAAGGTCAGGAAGGTCAGGTCGACACAAAAATAAGAGTAAAAATTGTATTTTGTCTTAACAAGCTTTGTAATGCAAGATGATATTTCGGACAATCTTTTTGACTTGGCAGGATTTGATCTTAGAGTCTTTGATCATTGTATATATTGTTAATTACCAATTCATTTGTCTAATGAGAAGGAAATGACTACAAATATATTTAGCTGCAAAAGACTAAAACTGATATATAAAGAGGTATAATTCAACATACAATGATGGAAGAGAATAATCATACTGATGATTATGTCCCTTGATATAGTTAGACTGTTTCCATGTCACACTTGAGACTATTCAGAATCAAATGCTTTTTGACAGTATTTTGTTTATTTTCTTGAGAGATGAAGATGAAGAAAAGACCTGAAATATTCACAATTTAGATTACATGTATTTGGAGGGATATTGGTTTTTGCATGTCATTAAAAAATGAGTGATTTTTATCAATATTGCTAGTTGTACATCCCTTTGATACTGTTTAATATGGCATTATTGAAACCTCTGAGTCCTGAATACTTAGATTTTTGTTTTCATTTTAAAATGAAAGAATTATAAATACTCCACAGCTTTAAAATTGTAACAATGAAAATTGATGTCAGTTTGTAGTTTCAGATTTTGAATTGATTCCTACATCAGAAAATGATCTTTGCAACTGAGTGATTCTTATTATATTTTCTTAATTGGATTTTTTTATCATGGTTACACGCCTTGTCAGTCACTGCCTTGTGTTTGTCATTGCAGAAAGTTTCCATCATATTATATGCAATAGGACATAATTATGAAATAAATTACTTGTTTCACAGTTAATTTAAGTATAATTTTGCATGTACAGTTTTATGGCATTCTTTGAATCTTAATTTTACAAGAACTAAGATTTTAAAAATAAAAAATTTGTATGTTTATTTAGACTCAGAATTATATTTTTTCACTTGTCAACTTTTTGATTTCCATTAAAGTGTAAAATGATTGGTTTATTTGGTGAAGATGAATGCTACATTCTTACATGTACTGTCTTTGTCGCTATGTCAGTCCATATTTCCATATTTTGTTCTTTTGTACAAAATGATTATATTATATTTTTATGAAAAATTTTCTTTGAAATATAACCCAAAGCCTTTTATTCAAATGGAAGCCTTTAAAACTTTTCTTGGAAACTTTGTGGACACAATTCATAGTTCCTCCCAAAACCAGAACATGCAGAATATACAGAAATATTTTAGCGCAGTAAATGGAAAATTTGCTGAAAATGATACTTGTCACATCATAACACATTAAGCAATTTTAGTAAATAACAAAACTCCAATGTATTTCATTAAGTGTATACTCATCTCATTCAGCTAAACTTTCAAGAGTAGGACCATTAATTTGTGTGTGTGTGTGTGTGTGTGTGTGTGTGTGGTGCCATTCATTTGTATGCATGCACTTATGTATTTTTGTGTGTTACATAATGTGATCCATTTGTGCAATAATAGCTCAATACAGGCTGAAAAAGTCAATGATATTATCTTTCACCAACATTTACAATATCATCAAAAGTGTGGTGATAAATTGGCTTAGAGAGATTTCTTTTCCTTTATACCTGTGACATAGTTTCTATTCTTTTTTTTATCAGATATAGTATGTATTACTAATGACAGTAAACAAACTGTATGGTTTCATAAAGCACAAACAAAATGTAGATCCAGTGGCTGTTTTGGCGATAGTTTTATATGGCAAGGGAGACAACTCATTTAGATAAATAGTTGGACCCTGTAGTAATCATTCTTGGATATTGTTCCAATAGTAGAATAAAATTGCTTTTAAATGGAAATTACCATCCAGGTGATGCTTGCTATATGTCAATTATAATGAAGATTTAGCATTCAATTTGTGCCACTATCATTTTTAAGTCATAGACTCACACACAGCATTCAATTATTATTTGTATTAATTTGTTTGAAAATTATTCATAAATAATTATTATTTGGAAACTATATTTTGCCTAAGAACTTACTTAATTTATAAGTATCCTATGAGAAAAATTACTTTTGATTATTGCTATAACCTAAGAAAAACATCTCTCATAAATTGAGCATCACCTATTAGTGTTTGAAATGTTAATGTTGCCTAGTGACTTGTAAAGGAAAGAAAATTAAAATTATTATGAGGATTATTTTGAGCAGTCTGACAGTTAAAACAATGGAACATGAATAGAAATACCTCAGGAGTCAAGTTCTTCCAACTAATCAGGTATATTAGCATCGATTCACATCTTAAGCAGTCAGTATCTGCAGTACTTTGATTACTGTGTTGTTCGTACGTTTTATGTACATTGCTGGTTTATATTATTGAAAAGTGTAAAGGTCTATAGCTATTTAGAAGGTGCAGAAATTATAATGAAATTGCAATTGATGCCAAATGTGTATTTGTGTTGAACTGTCTTTTTTGTACAGGAAGTCTGTTTAAATAGTTTATATATGTAAGTACATCTCTCAATATGGGACTCCTTGTGTGATGATAGTTATAACTTATTTGTACATTTTGTTAAGCAAGTGTCTTCATTATTTTATAAGCATACTGCTGAACTAATCAGTTTTTGTACCTACACATTGTGTGGATGGTAAAGGAACTGGATCATTTGTAAACTAGAAGACATTTTGATATAACATGTTCAGCATGTTTACAATGATTGCATTAGGATTTTGTCCTATGGTCCTCATTTACTATGATAACAATATCAGCTGATACGTTTTTTTATGTACATAGACCTGATCAAAGGGCAGAAAAATAATCAAAATAATTACAGTAAAACTTTTTAGCCAGTTGACCTGTCCAGAAATCAGCTAGCCTTACCTAATGAACTATAGTGAGCTGGAAGGAAACTGAACCCAGGTGTTAACAGTCCAAAAATGTAGGACTGCCTTTCTTAATAGTGTCTTGTTATCTATAACTGATTGGAAAGCAGTAACCTAGAGCCTGCTGTTTTACAGGAATATTACCTAAAATTACCTAATGTAAGACAACTAACTGAATTTAAAAAGTATAAGGAATTTATATTAATTTGTAGTGGCTGTAAGTCCGTCTGATTTGTTTGATTATTGTGTTTTAATGTATCTTAGTAAGTTTGTAAACTTATTACTTTTTGAATACATTACAATATCTTATTTTACTTAAATGACTTGGCAGAGTAAGAACAATTTAAGAAAGGGTTATTGTACAAATAATTGGTATAATCATTACAGCTTGTTTAGTCCAGGTGTAATGCACAGTGGCCTCTAAAAACTACCAAAAGTTCTAAAAGTTTTCAGTACCATTGTATTCATAATTAAATCTTTTGAATAAAATTATAAATATTTTTGTCACGTTCATGTAAAAAAATAAATATGTAAAATGTTGATACTTTGCAAGAAAATCTAAGCATTTTTAACAAGAAGGGTCTATGGGCAGTGTAATAAACACCACTCTTTTATGATTGCAAGGAATTTATTGACCTCTGACTTTTGCAATGAGCTGCAAATATTGAAGTGATCATCCATCTTTTGGATCTCCACAGAGGATCTGTGGTAGCTCAGTTGGTGGAGCATTGGACCCATATTCCATGGGATGCAGGTTAAATACCTGCAAAGAGTAATCCCAGAGTGACTACCTTGGTCCATCCTTAGGGAATACGCTTGGCCCCTATTTTGTTTGCATAATACACCCATGAATGTGCTGTTAAAACCAGCCTAACAGTCGACAAACATTTGATCTTTCATAATAATAATAATTTGGGAACCTGGACAAATGTAAAAAATGTTAGATATATGCAGTCACATAGTGATATATGTATCCTTGATTTTACAGTCATTATCAAAATCAAAGATGGAATTGAAATGGATGGCATGTTTTCAGTCAGGAGAGAAATGGGATGATTAGTGTATAAATAAAATATTGGCTTGTTTAAAAATTCATATTATAAAAACATGAGTTTATTTTGGTAAAATGGAAGGTTCTGTATTGTTGTTTCTTAACAATACAAGATGGATCTCTCAGGTATAGAGGCTGCAAGACCAAACGTTTGATATGTTTGCAAAATTTACATCTATAAAAATTATTAACACTTTTCATTATTTGATATTGATTCTTGCTTTCTAAAGTTTTGCCTGCATATGAAAAGGCAGAGCTTTGTAATAATATTGTATGTTGGATTCTAAAATATCTACATCATGAGCACTTTATTGATATGGCATGCTTTATGCAACAATTTTTATTGGCAAGAAGTAAATAAAACTTCAATTTAGTTTGCTTTTGAGCAAAACCAGTGCAATTTTAAAAATCACATAAGATGAGTTGGCTTTATATATGCAGGTTTGCATTCTTTTTCATTCTTTTATCACTTTTCTTTATATTGATTGCATGAGAAGAAAACGCTGGCGAGCAAATGTTGCTTGCTGCACAATTTGAAAGTTTGAGAAGTAAATTGTCACAGGTTCAGTAAAAGATCTTGAAATTGGAATGGTAACATCATTAAAGTTGTATGCCTCTCTTATTTTTAACTTATTGGCAACATGTTTGCTATAATGGGGACTACATATTAAGTTTGATCCAACTTCAAGCTGCAAAGACTCTAATCTGCTGTTGCATGTGCTGGTGCATATGGGTCTGTGCAGTTTATTATGATTAATGAATAGAACAAGCAACACAGACCAAGATCTACAAGCATTTTATCTGTTTCTGTTGTTTGTAATTTAACTCAACTTATAAGCTAGTGTATTATGTAGGGTATGCTGTAATCTTTAACATAAATTATAATTTTGCAAATTTAGATCTTTTTTCTAAATTTTCCAAAGTTTTACAGTATGTCTTGTTACATTAAAGTTTACAAAATAATGTGTTGATATTGGTTTGAATGTTTCCCCTTTTTATTCAGCTTGCAAGAAGATTACAAGAATTAATCTTTTTGGTTTGATGTATACTTGCCTGGCTGTATTGAAAATGTATTATATTGCATCAGCAAGTGGAATTTTGAAGACTGATCTGTAACATGTCATAATTTGACTAGTAAAATCCATACAGAACTGTTGAAAATATTGATACCATGTTACATTGTGACGAATTTAGGGGTGAAATATACACCTGTGGCATGTACACAAGCTTTAATGTGATGCATATCAGTATATAAAGAGGAAAATGAACAAAAATTAATTAGATCAAAAATTAAAGGTATCTTTTATAAGGCAAATGCATTTTGAATTGATTCTCCACCATTAGTATTTATATTTTCAAACATCAAAATAGTAATATTGTTGATACATTAACACATCAGTGAATTATTTCACCTCTAGACACATTGTGACAATGGAATTATGTTGCAGTTATTGAATCATGTAAAATGTGTTAGAATGGGATAAGCTGTTTTTGAGGATTTAAGAAAGTTGAAAGCCTTCTTTAGTTTTTCTGGCTTCACTGACACATTGCCAGTTCAACTTTACTAAGGTTAGTAAACCACTATTTCAGGCTCTTAAATCTTCATACTGCTATCCCCAAATTTAAATGTTATCCTTTTTTGTTCATAAGGAAAGATAATTTCTTGTTTAATTATGAGTCAAAAAAAGGTGCTGTAAAATTTAGATTTGGAAATTTATAATCATTTGATTTTTCGAGGACAAGATGTTTTACATTACATTTTGACACATTTTGCTGTTTTCTATGGTAGAGAAGTTGGATATTGCAATTTTATAAGACAGAAGTTGGCCATTGCTGTTTTGTGCCTTTGTTTACAAGTTATTACTGTAGATTGTTCAGCAAATATTTGTTTTGTACAGTTAATTTATGTATTTGCAGTATTAAAAATAAAATATGCAAGTATTGGCCATAATTTTCGCATTTTTCTTGTCAGTTTTACTCCTACATTAAAATTTCATTTTCTTTCTAAAACATTTTCCTTTTGTACAACCTTAAGACAACTCATTTGTATCTTATTTTGTCAAGATGAATATTCTTGAGATTCTTTGGTAATAGCTTACTCTGTTTATCAGTGCATGAATATTCAGATTTACAATAATGGAATGCTCTAAATCCCAGCTCAAAAATGTAGCACACAGCAGTCTATATTGTCAACTTTCATATGTATGTGCTTGTAAGTTGAATTAGACTGCAAACAACTAAAATCCTGATCAGCTATAGCATAATGTGCCAGCAGATCAGGGTCTATGCTGTTTGTTCTACTGATTTCTATTATGTGAGTATATATGGAAAATGACTTTAAGATTTAGTAATGGAACCCTGGAATAGTCAGCCCAAGGTTGAATTGAGTAAAGTTCAACAGTACTGTGAAAACAAATGACTTATTTGTTTTTGTTTTGAAAGAGTTCCAACTGTTAATAACTGCAGCCAAAAAAAATAACATGGGGTACACTATATTTGATTAAGAAGACTGATGACTGTAAAGTCCAAACAATGAGAAACTACATAAAGTCTATATTTGTACCAACAGTCCAAACAATAGGAAACTACATAAAGTATATTTTGGTACAATTTAATGAAAATAACTTCAATACATGTACTTGTAACAAACTTGAGTTTGGTTTTGCTGAAAACAGTGTTGCACTTCTGGTGCTCAGGAGACTGCAGATATGTAGCATCCTTCAGTGTTGTAGAATGTGTGGAATCTCCTTATTTTCCCCCAAGATTCATTGCACCCATTAGACTGGTTCCATTTTTAGAATGTTTCTTGTGTACTGCATGACCAATTAAATCATGTTATTATCAGTTATTGGCCAATGATACTGACCTCATTTAGCCTGGACACCAGAAAATGATGTTTTATTACAAACTGTCAGGAATGGTAACCTAGATGACAGCTATTCCCATTGAAATTAGGTAGCTAAGAGTAACCAGAAATTTAAAATCGTCATATATGCAAGACAATGGTCTACTGCATTGATGATTAACGGCAGGGGCTAATTAAACAATGTAACAGTAGTGGCAGAAAACCATTGAACTTTCAAAAAAAATTTCTAAGTCAACTTGTTGAGTGTCCAAGAGAATAAATTATTAAATCCAAAAATCAGTCGAATGACAAACAATATTAGCAACAAATTAAAATTGATACATACACCTTGTACCTTCAAGGTTTTGATTGACTCTGCCCGAAAATATATTAGAATGCATATTTAATTCTCCGAAACCCTATTTCAAGTCTTGCGAGATTGGTCATATGGTCTTGTACTACACTAGTTTTGTCACGTCGTCCAATATAATATAGACCGACTTTAAACCAATCATAAAAATGGCTGTTTACAAACATTGCCCACGTGAAGAAAGTATGTCCGTGATGCTGACCAATCATTTTAACTTCCTGTTGATTTATTACCAAAATAAGTCGGACTCGACGATAATTCGCACGTATTGCTATTTCGTCTTAAGTAAACAGCTTTGTGCTAAAATATATCTCACTACAATAATTAGAATCCCGAATCTAAAAAAAATATTCATTGCAATTAAATACAGTGAAACAAAAATAAAAAAAGAATTTTAATCCTTACCCTCAATAAATGTAATCACATGTACGTAACTGTATGTATGTATGTATGTATGTATGTATGTATGTATGTATGTATGTATGTATGTATGTATGTATGTATGTATGTATGTATGTATGTATAGAAACACACACCCATGGCAGATGTTTTGGAAAGTATATACCGTATCTATTCGATTATGGGTTGACACCTGTGAGTTGAAGTAAATTTTGTATATTATATCTTTTCATCAGTTATCAATTTGTAAAAATAAAAAATTGTATGATTGTGGAGAATATGTCACAAATAAATTAAAAACTTCAATTTATTAAAACCCTTAATGCTTGACATTTAAATCCATTTAAATGGTAAAAATGAATTATAGATTATAAACGGGTGTTTTTCAGTATATATTTTCTTCTCCCTTATATACTTACCTGATCACATTAACGTTATGAATATGAGCCCTTCTGCCTTGTGAATCCAGTCCTTCCCAAGATGAAAATTTATCTTTTTTGTCTATATCAGGTAACGATCATAATATTTATCAATTTTCTTGGCAATCTGGAACCAGTTGTACTGATGAGATTATGCTGGAAACAATTGTAATAATTAAATTTTGCTGGAACCAGTTGTTCACATGAGTACTATATGCCCAGCCTCTGTAGAGGTGATTCTACAAAAATAGTTTCTGTACAATGCCATCAGTTCCTGTTTGCTAAGTGGTAAATGAGCTGGACATGTGATCTAAAAGGTTTCAATCCTACCAATGGATTCGGTTACAATATTACGTACTTGGGAGGTAACAACACATGAGTGAACAGACCACTTGCTTATATTGTTATTTGTCTGAAAAATAAAGCTTCCTACAAAAATGAAAACTCAAGGTTGATAACGCTAAACAAAATCTCTAACTGACCATGAGATTTCTCTAATTGGGTTAGCTCATTTTGTTACTTTATTGTTTTTATTCTTTGTTTTTATTTTATGGCGTTTTCCATTTACTATCCGGGTCACTCAATTTTTATCGTTCACCTCCTCTGCTGCAATAATTAAATCATTGTTATATCAAAAATAGAATATTATACAGCTAGGTTAGCTGGTGAACAAATGGAGGCAATTAAAAAATATCT